AAGTCCTTATCCTTTAGTAATGGCGTCTTTTCTCGCTCATCAGGCGTTCTAATGTGGCTGTGCTATTACATAATCTATACGGCATCACCTTGAACTACCAAAGTCCTTATCCTTTAGTAATGGCGTCTTTTCTAGCTCATCAGATAGTATCACTACCTGAAAATATGCACTCTTTAAATCGAGCGTTGAAAACCACTTGCTTCTAGAGAAAGTGTTTAGAATGTTGTCATTCTAAGGAGAAGGTATGTATATGTATATGGAGAAATGTGGTGGACACTGTGACGATCAGTCATATGCACACCTCGGACTTACAGGTGCTTAATGAGAACTACCTGTTTGTTCAGAGACAAAATGGACACCAGACCGTTTAAAGGAAGGCGCAGCGGAAAGCCTTGGTGCGGTTTCCGGACATAAGGGACTAATTAAACCCCTTCCAGGTTTTTAACAAAATGAAGATAGGGCTTTGTGTAAAGAGCTTTTGATGCTGTAAACGAGAGAAAGCAGACACATCCTAGCGTCGTAGCCGCGTCAGCGGCTTTTGTATGAATTATGGCTGTAATGATCTCCTTATTTTAATATTTAATCAAGAATTTCTTAATAAGTTTTTTAAATAAATATTAAAGACAACCTATCTTTTCTTTCACCCAACATGGGTGTTCTGACGTTACAACACCCATTGTTTAACCATTGGTAATGTGGGCATTGTCCAGCCACACTAGATATCCAGATAATTACACCCCGCAGGACTTACAGGAGACTAAGCAGGAGGTAGCTGTCTTTCTTCGTGATGTCGTTCAACCAATAATAATGAATGCAAAATCTAGTTGAACCATCTTTCTTTCTGACCAGACCGATGGCGGAGGCCCTAAGACTTGCTGAAGGCTTGATAAAGTCACTTCCTTGCAAACCCTGTTTTCTTGCCTCGTCCCAGGGGCTGGCTAAGCCAGTTTGGGGCCCAGGAAGTAAAATTTTTGTGCCCTCAATAAAAGAATATATAATTGCGTTTCAAAGGCATACATACCTATAACTCTAGAAACGCAGTTATTGATGAAGTGTAATAAATAATTTAACGTTCATAAATATTTAATACTTTAAATATTTTAATAAAATTTTGAGTTAATGCTTTTATTTATAAGGGAAAGAAAAATAAAATATCAAGCTATTAAAATATTTTATGGAATGTTTTAAAATTAAAATAATTGATCATAAAATTAGGTGACTGTTAAGTAGAAAATTTAATAAAATTTTCATTGGCTTCTTTCTAGTAAATTTAGTAAGCAATTCCAAAGTATCCCTGATATTTGAAACTTCTTTTTCCGATATATAACAGAGCCGAATAGTTTAATCTTTTTTTTTGGCATCGTACTTGCTAAATAGTTTTCTTTCGTCCTTATGACAAAAAAGATCTTTTTCTGAATGGTTTGAAACTGGCATAGTCAAATTTTCTATGAAAACATTTTCTGCATAGGGAATAATTTCTATACGCATAATGCCTGTGTGAGTTTTAATATAAATCTCATTTAACATTTTTATACAAACTTATTTTTAAAATTCGATGAATTATAATTAAAGAATATTTAAAATTTTCCTATGTTATCTTTACATGCTTCATTTTTACAAGCAAGTTATGCTATTTCATTATCACAGATAGTATTTAAAAATATTCATTACATTCATCCAAAAATCATTACCTTTTCTGTGACCTTCGAGTCAAAGTATCTAAAATGCGATAGCATTCCTTCTTTTCCTACGCTAAAAATTTCATGATGGAATCGCGCATAAAATTTTCCAAACTCTTTAATAATTCTGCTCTTTTAAGGGCACACTCTATTCATTGTAAGGATTTGCTGGTGACATATTTTCCCTGTAAAATGGTTTTCCAACTGACGGTCATATGTATCGACCCTTACTTGCGCATTTGTTTTTTTAAATAAAGGTGTAACCTCCACTACAGTTATTTTCTTTCATCAACTTGCAACAGAGACGTCAAATACGATTTCTTTTATATGGTTCTAACCAAATTTTAATGCAAGTACGGTATCTGCTCTTGCCGACAAGTAGTATCGGATAATTATTTTACTTTTAAATTATCTTCACACTTTTGCAGCTGTCTGCTGAAAATTTGCCAGCAATGACCACATGCGTAAAGAGAAAAGCAAATAACTTTTGCATATACGTAACATATTGAACAGTGGTAAACTACATACTTGAGTACGTACTTGAGTGGCTTTTAAAATTAAGTAAGAGAAAAATATTATTTTTACAAAGAAACTTTATATTTAATGTTAATATTCGTGTTTTAAGTTCAGAAAAATTTGCATAAATTTGTTCAAAATCAGTTGTTGACAAAATCGGTTTATTGAAATAATTTCTGTTTTTCAAAATTGTATAATAATATTTTAATGTTTAAATGTTTAATATGTTGCTTTTTTTTAATAATAACAATAAACCATTAAATCTCATTGTCCGTAGTAGCAATGCACGCAAGAACAATGTATCTCGTTATATAATAAAAGTAAAGGGGATTTGCAACAAGATGACGCGATTTAATACACCATCTGTTAAATAAATTAATCAGCATATAAATTAAAATCATACTTCCTAAAACAAAATTGTGTTTCATGAAGTTGATGACGCTTTTAGAAAAGTTGCCACATTAATGTCTAACAGCTGAACTTAAAAGTGCAGACCACTTTATGCCGCAGCACCACAAGGAAGGATTTTTGCCTTGGTATACACATTGTAGCTACATTAGGTTATTTGGAAGCAAGAGACATGAAAAATGAGCAATGCCCTCGCCGGGACTCGAACCTGGACCTCTCGAATACGCGCCGAGTTTGCTAACCCTTACACCACGAAGGCATGCAGAAAGGAAAGAGAAAATACCTTATAACGTGACAACCTGGTAGCGCTGGCAATACGAATGAATGGCCCTTAGGCCATAAGATTTTTTATTAGGAAAAAATTAAGTTTAACGTATTTGCGGCATGCATGCTTATATGAAGCTATTTCAACATAAAAAATAAATTGATACGACTTAATAGCTTCCGCAGATAAATGCATCTGTAAAAATAATGTATTTTCCCATTTGCAACATTCAAACTATAGTTTAATATTTCATATCCTATTTTATAAATCTACACGTATTTGTTATTAAACTAATTTTCTTGCACTGTGAAACGTGCTAGTCCATCAAAATATCCAAATTAATCCCTTTTACAATTAAAAATATTGATTCGTACCTATGTTACGCATAAAAAATAAATAAGTAAATAAAAAAAATGTAATTTTACATGAAGACTCGTGTGATGTGACTGTTACACCCTCGTTTAATATGACTGTTACATATTAAACTCGTACATGTGCAGAATATGTTAGCTAAGTACATTTCATTAAGATTCTGAATTCTTAGAAATTGGCTACATTAATATAGACACTAACAGGTAAATCATACGAATATATCTTTCCTCTTTAAAAACATTATGCTTACTCTTGTAATTTAATAAAATCATGCTCTCATTTTTAAAATGTTATTGAAAATAAGGAAATACGTAAACTAGTGATTGCCAAATCATTTTCCACCGATTCTAGAGGTTTAAACCACCTTTACACATTAAAATTATGATATTTATAGTTATTTCGATATGTAATAGCTGGAACAGCATTACCATCAAGTTGTTTCTACTGTGTGCATGCCATATGTACTAAAATATCTTTATATTCCAGAACTAACACAGTAGCTCCCGAACTAAAAATGGTGGTGGATGATGATTCACCGCAGCAGGATTTGGCGATTGGGCCCCTAATTCCCAGTCGCCCTTTAAAAGGGGAAGTATATAAAGTATTTCCCCGCCTTCTTAGCATGTCTTCGTGGTGTAATGGTCAGTACACTCGGCGCGCATTCGAGAGGCCCTTGGTTCGATTCCAGGCAAAGGCACTGCTCATTTTTTATCACTCCTGCTCCAAATAACCTAATTTCTCTACAATATAAATATAATTATTAGAATTTTCAGCTATTTCAAAAGTGAGAAAATTTGTTATTTCTCTTTCATGTACTTAAAAAAATGCTTTATAAGAAACGTTTCAGAAATGCGCGTTATATTTTATGCTATATATGAAGTAATGGATTGATTTTTCTTTTAGGCAAATGTATGATATATGTATCTAAGTATGTATATATGTTATTACATTTGTTAATTAATTGCTATCCTTTCCAGCTTTATTAATTTTATTACTTTCTGTCTGCTATTAAATCTCTTGTTTATTTTTATTATTTATATTATCACAACTTATTTTTAAACTTAAGCCCTGAAAAATAAAGATGTGTTGTGAAACGGATGGAGGTCTCTGTTGAATACAAATCATGATGTCTACTTTGAATGTTCTTGTCTTAGAAATTCAGAGCAATGCTCTCAGGCGACATGTCTGCGAAGAAGACTTGTTCGGAGATATATCTTCTCGTGTTGACCAGACGAGGCTTTAGAGGCAACGATAAAGCATTTCATCTGAATCGGATTAATTGTTTCAGGCACTGTGTGACTCTAAATTGGTCAGTTGGAAGAAAGTTTAAATACTGCAGTTTACCTATTTTTGCTCCTTATTATTCAAAACATTCTCCTACATAGTAGTACACTACGGCTATCTGCTTTATAGAATCATGCCATTATGCAAGTTTCTCTCAAGATAACTCCTTGGATTTATAAAGAACGTGAGGGAAAGCACGATAGCCTTATGCATTGGTGCGTTCAACAGCTCGAAACAGAAAATGCTATGAACTAACAACTAGTTACCTGCGGCTTTAACTTTTGAACTAAGAGGTACCTCAAGCAAATAAATTTGATACTGTAATTTAAAGTTTAACTGATAAATTTGTGCTATGATCTCTAATTTTATCTAATCTCTTATTTATTAGAATCTTAACATTTTGAACAAAAACTATTTTTGATTACAATTTATAGTGCTAATTACAGTATTAACATTAATCTAAGTCAATAAAGAAATGAAGTTTTTTAACATCTTTTATTATCATTTCAAAATTGAATTATGCACATTACATTCTGCATTATCATCAAAATATGCTCTTTCTGAAAGAAAGGCTTTCTTTGCTGTAACAAAATGTGACTATTCTTTGCAGTGGGATTTGTAGACACTTCTGGCACAGCGCTGAAAAAAAAATAAATGAAACATAATTAATTAATTAATTTTAATTTACATATGTGCACAGGAAAATTTAGTCACAAATAAATTTTTAATTATATTTTTTATGAAGTTGTAGAATATCATTTAATTTTCTAACCAGTTATTTTAAGTTAAAAAATCTTTTCCTATCAAACCGTATTTCCTTTCCCTGACAAAATGCAAATTTCCAGCCCGCGCGTAATCAAATTAAGTAGAAGAAGGAAGTATTTAAAAGAACGTTTTGGAGGGGAAAATCATAGCGTGTTCAGCTTGCTTAAAGATCACGTTGCTAGCTTTGATTCTCTGAGGATTAGAATTATGTGGTGTTCTGTTCTTGCCATTTTGCTTGTTGCACTGATTTCGGGTCAGAGTCAGCTAGCGCAATAGCTATTAGCTGTTAAGCCGTTAGGCTATACTTAACTTCCTCAGTTCTAAGTTATTCATTGCCTTTTGATTTAAGCCTTTGTGTTTTAAGTGTTGGCTTTTTTTAAGCACGAGTTGGTGCCGACTACTAAACTTTATTTGAGTTAATAAAGGGTTCTATGCACCTTTCTTCTGATTTTCTAGCACTTAGTGATAATTCGCTAAACAATCTTCAACGACGCATACATTATATGACAACTAAGAATACACGACGTTACAAAGTAATTTTAAGTCATTAAAAAGATTTAATTACCTTCAATTTCTCCTCTTGTCTTCATTAGATAGTTAGGTTATTGGAATATGAAAAGCTTAAGAAAAAAGATGTCCTTCTAAGGGAAACTGACTAGTATTCGTTTTACGCTTGAGGAAAATCCAGAATACAGCTAACTTGTTTGCCTGGTCTCGAACCAGGGTCGAACATCTAGCATTCAACTGCCTTAACCACTCGACCATCGATAAGCATGTAGGATCTAGTACGCTGAGCTAACATAAAATGTGACTAGATCTACCTAAGTCCTTGCCAATGCTCGCACAGGCTGAAGGTGAACACGACCAGGGAAGGGTATAAAACACCATTTTATTGAATACAAAATATTTAACTGTGGACACTACCAGTAATTTAGAATGCGTATAAATAGCATCCTAAATTAGGTGGCCCACCAGCGGCCGAGCGGTAAAAGCCGCTGAACACTGGTATTCGTTCCGGGGTTCGAATCTCGCCGAACGGGCTGGCTGTATGGGCGTTTTCGTGATTTTCCCCCTGTGTAACATGGATACGAGCCAGTTTCTCTTAAAAAGACCTCCACGGGGCATCCCGCCCTTTCCGTGCAGTGCCTAAGGGCGGAGCACGTAATAAGTAAAAAAAAAATTAGAATAGGTATGAGGAATTCTGAATTTAAGTTAAAAGAATAATTTCAAGACGTGTAATTGAAAAGCGTATTAATTATACATGGTGTTCGAAAAGGAAAGCCAGCGTATTAATTATACATGGTGTTCGAAAAGGAAAGCCTAATTTGCTTAAATATTGATAATTAAAGCGAGCTTTCAGCCATTTTCTCTAAATAAGGTGAAGAGTTTCATTAAAGCGATTTTAACACTGTCACAGGATTTTTATAAACATGAAATTTAACTTTTTAAAGGATTGATATAACGCGTTTCTTTGAAGTTCAGTAGTAATATTAGCTATTCAAAAAAATATACGTATATTACTGTACGAATAGTAATGGAATTAGAATAAAATTTATGTAATCGAAGATGAATAAATAGAAAATTCCTTTTAATGAAACAGTTGTAAGGATTATGTTAATTTTATTAACAGTTAAATTTTAAGTTAAAGTTCCTTTCCTGTCAAATTCTTAACTTCAACTTACTACTTCCGGCCAGAACGTAGTTTGGAATCTTGCTGAATATTTAATGAGGAGGAGCGGTATTTAAACCACGAAGTTACTTACCGAGTCAGAGAGAATCAGAGCTTTTGATTTACGCGCGTCTGCCTTTTTGACCACTCTCTCTCTCAAAGCTGTTATTACGCTCGGCTGTACTCAGGCCCTTGCTAAGCTTCGTAGTCAAATAAGTTAAGGGGCCAACTCGATTTGAACCTTGATAGCTTCGGCTATATTTCTTTAGTTAATCTTAGTTTTAGTTTAATTCTTAGTCTTTTAAGTTCAAGTCCAAGCGCGGGCTTTGCTTGTACACTCCCAGGCGGAGTTTTGTTAAGTCTTATTGGAATAATAAAGGGTTAGTTATCCTTCTATCTTGTTGTTTCTTGCCACCGAACTCAAGCGATTATTCGCTTATCAGTTCTTAGATTCTTCACTTCCAACATTAACTTAGAATTCCAAAGTGAGGAACTCTACACAGTGATTATTATTCTGTAAATTAATGAAAATATTGCTTCCTTTATAGTATAGCTATAGAATATCAGGTGTTTACACTGATGTCTCCCTCCTCTAAATACGAATTAGTAGAGAGTAAAGGGAAGTAATTAACCTTTGAAACGGTTTTTGGAATTATTTTATGTAATATCAGAAGGTTTGTAATGATTTTCTTTATTGCTAAATGTTTTCTTTCCCGGAATAACAGAAAATTTATAGATTTTAAAAGTATATTTAGCCAAAGCACAGGTATTGCTAAAAATGGAAAGTTTTGTAAGTAAAATAATTTCTTCTCTGAAAAAGGAACACTGCTACTGAGAACTAAAAGTAATCTATTAGACGTGAAAAACAATCGTCATTGAAGATAATGTACTTACAATGAATGACTCCAAGCTTTCTTTCTCTTCTTCGGTTAACTGAAATACGAGATAAATAATGCAGATTTGTAACTTACTAATATCTCAAAATTTATAAGTAAATTTATGCAGCTGCTTGTTAGTAGTTACCAGAAAATCGAAATTTTCAAAAGTTTTATTTACATATTTAATTTTTAAGCCTACGTTACCTTTACTGCTCATTGTAGAACTATCTCAAGAAATAAGATTTATTTTAGTATTACAGTAGAAGTCCATTAGTCCGGCATCCAACAGTCCCGGAATGCCCGATAGTCCGGCATCGCTCCGAAAAATTGTAAAAATTTTGGTTTTCTCCAAAAGTGTGTCTTTAAAGCAAATAAAACCGCTCGAGAGCTATTCGGAAGTTTTCGGGGTAGTTCGAGATCATCCGGAAGCGCTCGGTATTGTTCGGAAACAATTAGCGGCCGGCTAGTCTCAGCTGTCACAACAAATTCAGGTGCAGTGCAGCTCCGTTAATCAATCACGAAGCGTCTTCGCCATTTTTTTGTGCGTTGTGAATCGACGAGAATGAGCCTGTTGAACAAGAACTAACCGATGAGGACATTATCAACATTGTAGTAAACCCTCAGCCTACTCAAAATCTTGAAGAAAATGACTCAGATGCCGAAACGGAAAAAAATCAGCTGGGAAGAAGCTGCAGAATCACTAAATAAGTGTATCTCTTTTGCCGAGGCTAGTACTAGCTACAGTGCTTCAGAAATTATTGATTTCCATATCATTAGAAATAAATTTTATACTAAACGCCAAAAGTCAAGAAAACAAAAAGACATTCGTGACTTTTTTAAATCTAAGTGAAATATGTTTTACAGTACGTGTACATACATTATATGAAATGTAAAATAAACTTTGTTGTATGTATTTGCATACTGTATTTTTAGTTTAATTATTAACCTAATTGTTCTTATAATTACCGCCCGATAGACCGGAATTTTCAGTAGTCCGGCACCGAGCCGGTCCCGAACGTGCCGGATTATCGGACTTCTACTGTAATTAAAAATTTAAATTCTGCGTAACATCCAGTTCGCCTGCAACTATGCATTTCGAAATGTTCTAAATCTTACTTAATATTATTTAATTATGATATCTTACTTATTTAGAGCTGATTCATTTTGTAATCGTAAAAAGAATTTACAGACTAAGAGATGTAATACAAATCGGAATTTTTATTTAAATCTCAGGAAAAAATTCCCACATTATCTTAAATCAACGGTCTTGAAAATAATTATGAATATGTTTTTAAATGTTTGAATTTTAATAAATGGTAATAAATTCATAAAAATGCAAGCATTTAATACATGACTGTTCCCCCTCTTGTACAAAACAACTTCTATTCACCTTTAGAAACCTTAATATATTTAATTTTGAGAAATTTCAGCTTTCTAGTCATTGACTGAAAATCTTTCAAGTAACCGAGTGAAAGAAAAGTTCTTTTATAAAGAAAAATTGTACTCGTCTTTCAGTTAATGCATGCTAGGTTATAGTTATTTGTCTCTTAATCATCATCTCTATAAAGACGTGGTCAAATGGTGGTTGGATCATTTGATTTAAACTAACACGCGATAATGTCCACTTAAAAGTTCAATCCCAGTTTTGTTTGGTCTTATCTGTAGATGATAAACGGTGGCGATCAGATAATGATGTCATATCAGTGAGAATTTGTGCATAAGGAAGTTCGCGTACTTTCTTTTCCTAAATTCTATACATTTTTCTGACTACATTAACAGTTTGTAAGCACAAAATCTGATTAATATTTTCTTACTACATCTGAACTGTGCTACTAATATTCAGTGTAATGAGTTTTCAACCATTTTAATTTTTGTGAAATGCCTGAAAAATGTTTTTGGAATAAGCACTTATTTCTTCATTTCAAGATGCATATCAAGACAATATCATAACAGAAAGCTCTTGCATCCTCTTAAAAAGATGCCATTCAAAAGCACATTGCAAGCAATAAATTCCGTAACAGAACTGCTTGCAGAGATTACGAAAGGAAGCAAATACAGGTAGTTTGCCATTTATCTTCTCAATAGAAAATATGGTGAAAAGAAACACAGTCTATTTCAAAATTTAAACAAGTTGCAATGAATGTATCATTTTGTTATATTTTGTTTACTTGCATTGTGTTTTTATTCGCAAACAAATATTCAAATAAACTGCTTATTCATGAGTAAAATAGAAAAATTTTAAAAAGAAATCTATTTAAATATTTTTAAGCCTTTGAGTAATTAGAAAGTAACATTTCAAAGAAAAAACTTAATCATAACTTAATAAATTTATGCATACTTCAACAAAATATTTTTCAGTTTAAACTTGTTAAAAGTTTAAACTTAAGCACTTGTTTAAAACAACTGAACAAAAATATGTGAAGCATATTCTGTTAAAATACTTTAGGAGAAAGATATATGCCCGTTTCACGTATAACCATGAAATATTTACGGTATGCCATTTAATCTGTCAAACATATGAGTGATCTGCTTTACAAATCAAAAAGGTTTCGTTAACAAATATGGCGTATAAAGCACTGAAATTAAATTTTACAAGATTCTACGTCACTCCTGCTCTAATTCTGAAATTAACTTATTTTAAAAAGCAGTTAACTTATTTTGTTCAATAATTCTGTTCTGGTCTTACATCAGGAAAAAATATCGATTTGTGAGCGTGATTTCTCGGAACTTCTAACACTTCGTCTCAAACCTATAGTTGTAAAATTTATGTTACAAAATTTGCTTCTAATGTTTATGGAATCTGTTCAAAGTGAAAATGTGTCTAAGTACTTTTATTTTAATGCACGATATAAGACAATTAAAATTGTATTATTTTATACAATTCTAAATTTATGAGTATTTTACATATAGTATTATTTGCGAACTTATTTAAACTTCTTAATATTTTTTTACCTGATATTTGCGTTTATAATTTCATTCATGTTTTAGTTGATAAATTTTATGTCTATTTGATAATAGGTCTAGTAGCGCAAAAGCAGAATGATATACATTTAAAGAAAAATCAGCATACATGGTAGTTTTACGAAATATCCTCATTTTCCAAAAACTTCTGATATTCCAAGAGTTTATTGAAAAGACGCACAGAAAATTCTAAACCATCTATCCTATATGGATATCCAGTGAGTTTGGTTGTCTTTGACGCGGTGCTCAGAGTGTTTTTATTCAATAAGAGAGTTTGAATTTAAAAGGTGTAATGTTGCTGAAGATTTTTGTTAGTTTCACGTTTGCCATATTCGGCGTGTGTTTTCTGAATGATTTTGGTCCCAGATTTCTTGCTACAGAGAACGCATTTTCGAATATGAAATTTAAGACCTCAGTTTTTCAAAGGAAATTTTAAGAAACTCTTGAACAATACTTGAGCTTCCGTGTGCTATTCTACATTGATTCTACTCTTTTCAATAGATCAGAGCTTCATATGAAACCTTGATTTTCTTAACTTATCACTTCTATTCGTGAAAATAAGCACGGATACCTCTAAAATGGACGGACAGAATATAACAATATTATCTTGCTCGAATCAGATCTTGATGAAATATGTCTTTCTTTAACTTTTTGAGATTGATTTATTAGATGTTCTATCACGGTAATAAATTAAATTAGATTTAGCTACAATAAACGATATACATATTCAGCATGCGGTATCATGACATTATTAAAATAATTCCTACAAAATGATGAAGCGTGCTGTTTTATCTCATAAAAAAGTAGCAGTTTAAACTTTTAAAATTATTATGCAAAATTTAAATGTGATTTCCACTTACTCCAGTTGCTTCTGTCTCAGCTACAAGGCAGTCGAACATCTAGAATATGAAAAAAAGGAAAACAGTGTATAAATTTTATGAACTTGTCATTTGGAGGAGTAATCTTTTCTATACTCGCAATTCATAGTAAAAATACGAAATACCAGCAGAAAATATTTGCAGCTAGAAGAAACATTGAAATATTCAGAGATAATTAATAATGATTGCTGAATTTAGATTAAATTGAAAGGTTTTGTATACCACTACAATAGTTTTACAGATTTAGAAAATTTATCAGAATGAGAAATTGTAAAACAGATTCAAGAAACTCACAGTATACATTGCTTCAACTAAAAGAACTTTTAACTTTAGGAACGCATTCGATTTTTATTGTGATCTCTGTATTTCAGTATTCCTTTTGGAAGTTTTGCAGGAATAAAATATTTTAAAATTTAGTAACTAGATTAAATTTTCATTTCCAATTTTTACCACTGCTTTTTTTTTTTTTTTTTTGGCATACCTTGTTTTAATTCTTTGTTTCTTGGCGTTTTAATTTTGTTTCTTGCCTCGACCACAAATGACGATATGTATCGTATGCGAGTGCTTATAGTATTAAAATAAACAAATCACACTGGCTCTGCCAAGTCGGAAATATTTCCTTGCTATATCATTTGTGGTTTCTATGGCTCGTTTTACTCAGTGTCATTATACTGTTCGTCTATCATATCACTCTCTAGTAAGTCATATCTCGATGCAAATGCGTATTTTCGGTTGCAGTTAGAGGAGTTTTCTGGAACAATTCAGATAATTCCCGAAACAGTACTTTTTAAACTTATTTCATTTATTACCTCTTTTTTTATCAACGAGTTTTTTTCGCGGCCTTAGATATTAAATATAAAATAAATATATAAAAAAATCATTTCGCATAAATAATTTATTTTTGTAAACAATACAAATATGAAAAGAAGTAGTTTTTAGTTTTGTTTCAAGTACATAAAAATTGATGGGAGAAATTGCGTTTTAATAAGAAAATTTGCTTGTATTTTGCTGCATAACAAATTAAACCTTGGTGCAATATTTAACACTGCGGACGTAGAGCACCTTCAGCTGTTTTCAGCGTTAAATGATATTTGAATCTAATAAGCTTTAAGAGCTGAAAACATGGTCTCTCATTAAATATGTGATGCTGAATGGCAGAAGATAATTTAATGCCATTTCAGGAATTGTGGAAAATTCAGCTGAAGCTCCGTTTCAGAAATTAGTCAAGGATTTTTATGGAAACTCAAATTTCTAGTTTGAGTCACTCGATAGATCAACAAATTCTATTTGGGTTTTATGTGGCATATGATTAATTTCATTTATTTCAATTTATGAAATTTCTTTTAAAGTTTCATTAATGTTATTTCTTTTCATCTATTTTATGTAATTCATGTATCAACATTAAACATTCTCGACCCCAAAATTTCGCTTTGTGACCATGTGAAGTCCGTGAACTGAGATTTTTAGAAATAAGCAAAGTCTAATGCATAAATATGAGTGATGACGATCTCTGTATTTAACAGAAAATTTCGAGTAAAAATGATTTCGATAAAAGTCTTCCTTTTTCACTTTTTCCAAATTTGCGCGTCTGTAAGTGGGTGCTCAGTGAAAAGTTGCGGATGAAGGTAAAATGTTATTATTATTCCTGTAGCTTTACTAGACTTTAATTGTATACACAATCCAATAGCTTGCTTTTAATCGCTTTTGCTTTAGCTAAAGTTTGTTATATTTCGTTATTTTTTTCTCTTTGTTTGAAGGAAACTTTGATAACTCTGAGTTTTTTTAAAAAAAAGTTTCAGATGAGATATTATAGTTACTACAGTCCCACATAATGTTATGGAATTCTGATATTCCAAGATCAGCACAAAACTATCCATATATTTTCAGTTTCGAAAATTTTGAAAGAATTTCTCAAGTGATTATATCATTTGAATTTACAACTACAAAATTAAGGAGCGGAAAAAGCTGAAGAAGTTGTCAAAGAGCTGAAATAAATAAACATCTTTAGCTCTTTGACATAATAAAATAAAACAATCTAAGAATATTCTCGAATTTAAGTTTTCCTCGTTTAATCGTATATTTCCGGACAACAGTTTAAATAATTTTCTTCATCAACATCTATAAGTAATTAAATAATTATAGGAAAATTCAACTAAATTTTATATAATTTATTTAGCTTACCTTATAAGGATCTTAAGTTTTACTAACCTTTATTTTATTTTAAAACTTTACGTGTCCTCTCTTATTTTTTACTTCCGACCAGAATAAACGCGTGAATATGTTTATGCAAATTGTACTTGCTAACGCTTAAGTATGTAAGTTGTGGCTTTTCGCCAAGAACAGAGTTAGATGGATAGAAAGTGAACCTCCTTGCCACTGTATTCCACGCCAGCTTTCAATCAGTTGTTGTTCGCCTTTAAGAAGTTTAGTCCTCTCGATATTTTAAGACTTATTGTAGTTTTCCGCAGTTTGCATATGACATACGTAATACTCTGAAAAGGCCAGTCATCTGTATAACGTATTCAAAGTTTAGCTCTTATTTAAATTTAGTTAGTAGTTCTCATATCTTTACCTTCAGACCACAAGCTGTTGGTCTTTGTATTCCGAAGTGCGGGAGCGCCTGTAATTTCGTGGAGAATGAAGGGTAGTTAAATCCTTCGCATCTTAGTAATCTATTTTACAGTTCCACAGAACATAGCTTCCAGTAAGCTCACTGTTCCCATTCAAGACACATCATGTTCGCAAAGCAAATAAGGAGAAATAGTTGTCCTGATAACCTATGTTTCATTACAACTTTCTCAATACTTAAATTATGGCGAAACTCAAGTTTAATAATCAGACGACCAACTTTGATTTTATATTAAAATTTATTTTCACCAGTGTTTAATAACCAGTGTTTAATTATGGGCTCTGATAAGTATTTATTCAGATATTGTAAATATCCTTTTAACTTCCCAAATAGTGTTTCATGCTTTTTTTGGAATAGACGACGAGATTTTCGGTTTTATTGGAAATTTTATATAGTAATATGCAAACGAGAGAAAATAATGGACATTAAATATATATGTAAGTAATTAAATGCCCTTTTGAACTTGATATATTCGGTTTGAAATCTTTTCTCTTATATTATACATTCATAAAAATAGCGATGTCATAAACATTATACATTCATAAAAATAGCGATGTCATAAAAAAAAGAAAAGAAATCAATTTGAAACGTCGTCACTGTATGTATTAAACAGATAAATATGTGACAAATTAAAAATAAAAAACATCAAGTGGAGGCAAGAAAAATTTATGACATCAGAAAAGCGAAAGGAAAACTACATTAACTCGTACTTGTAAAAATCCTGTAGAACGGCATCTCGTAACAGATCGGCTCTTCCTTAATTAAGTCACGTTTTCAAGCAACAGTCTCCAGCAATTGTCTAGTCACAGTTCAAACAGAGGTCCAAGTCACGGTCTCCGTAATAAGTCACGGTTCATTAATTTCCAGTTGGAATTCCAACCAAATCAACCAATTTCCAGTATGGTTTTCCCTTAAGCTTTCCTTTTTACAAATACCATATAGGGATTGTACGAAGAGGAAAATATTGGCCATCATTCATATCAGGGCATCATCGAGACTAATTCATGGCAGTAAAATAAAAGGAATATCCCTAATCTACTTAGCAATCAAAGGCTGATGGCAGATTGTATTATCTTGTTGGAATACTTACTTCGTTTACTATCAGCGAGCTTGAGAGTCATAAAGGCATGGGAGCATCTGATCTGCGAGAAAGCTCTGGCGGCATACCCCTGGCAGCGATTGTTTAATACGTACTAGGAAACTTTGCAGGTTATGTCAATACATCTTTTCCCATCATTTAGACCCTTTCAACCTGAGATATACCTTATATCCGTGGCTTCATGAGCTCTATTTCATAACAGCAAGCACTATTCAGCGTCAGCGCGAAACAAGTGGAAACATGTCCGGTTATGTTACCTGACTCTATTATTTTAAGATCTAGTTCCGCTATCTTTAAGCTTAATCTAGTAAGCTTATTCTGCGCTGAAGCCCAGTTATGCACTGAAGCCCAGAAGCACTGAAGTTTGTTCATTAAAACCAGTCTATTGGCCATTACCGTTGGAGATAGCTGACGAAAACTTTGTTTCACATGGGTAGCAATATTCGAGATAATTATCAGAAAACAGATTCCCTGCATGATTTCCAATACTGCATACATCCTTTTGGCGTTGCCTACAGTGGCACTTTGATGTCAACTATTTCATGATTTGAAATCATTTGAAATGGAAGTATTCTCTCAGATCTAAATTAGCGAATCTATGTGGCTGACATGTAGGGCATCGATTATACATACAGCACAAAGCTAAATACCCGAAGGCTCGTTTCATACATTCAAAACATTTTGGAAGAATAACTGTTTAATAGAAATTTTTCCCTTTGTCTATAATATAAAACAGCTAATCACCCCGGTTCACTTTGGGATTACCACCTAAAAGGACATTTAAAATGATAGCTGATGATGAAGAATTTGATACTGAAAGTTGATTGGGTGTTGTAAACGAACAAGTGAATAGTGATGCATATTAATTGATCTTAAAAAAATCACATTTTAGTTTTGTCTTAATGAAAGCAAAATGCATACCTTTCCTAAAACTTCTGGATTTTTGCAGATTTCTATCATATCTTCTTCTTCATTGTTTGCTTGAGATATATACCGATCCTTGCATTTACCGAAAATTTCTGTGCTCTAAATGAGAAATGAAAAGTAGTCACTTATGCATTTGGAAAACATATTTTTTTCTCATTTTTCTTATCACTATTAATCTAGGAACTATAAGTAAACACAGTGGAACTGATTTAAATTCTTACTAGGATACAAATTTAAATTCCCCAATTCTTTTATAATAATAAATTGTATCGTTAACTCAGCAAACCAAAATAAGTATCGATTAAATCAGGGGTGTCCAACTCGAGACCCGTGGCACGCAGGCGTCCCAAGAAGAGGCGCGAAGCACAAAGGAAATATCAAGACCACACGCCGATGATACATTTTACTGTTGCGATCGTGGTTTGAGGCTAACTTTTTGCTATCAACATATAAGTTATTTGACGCTTAGTTAAAAACTGAACCAAAATATCGGATTAATAATTTGAGAACTCCCTAAGAATTGCAACCACTTTAATCGAACAAGACACTGATGCATTAGTTTCTCAAATTCAAGGCCGAATATCACATTAATTTTATGATTTCTTGTTATCTCTATAGCTATAAATAAATTTTATAGTGAAATGTTATGAATAAAATACTAAATATAGTATCAAAATAATTCTATGTCACTATCATTATATTACAAAAAATTATAATTAATAAAGTTTAAATTGCCCAAATATATTTTTACTTTTTTATTGCTCATCAGTCATCCGTAGTGACAGCTCGCGCATACCGCCAGCACTTGATACACATGGCGAGCATGTATTGACAACTCGCCATGTGTATCAAGTGAATCACTAATTAACTTAAGAGTTTTCTGTATCAGAGCTTTCTTACATATAATACATACCGAGCAAATTTGAACTAACGTGGTCAAACCAGCACATTCCTCTGCTAGAGGTCAGATTCAAGAATTTCTTTCAGCAATTAAATCTGAGAAAATACGAAAATTTTTAATGAAACATATGCAATTGTGTGAATCATTTATTTTGAAGGTCACGAGCTGCCACTGGTATTAGAAATAATTTGTTATGGCTCAAAATATCTCATCTTCTTCCAATGTGGCCCAGACAAGCTAAAAGGCTGGACACTCCTGGTTCAAATTACCATACTTGAAATTGTTCCAGTTTTCTTCTAACCTTATTCGGGATGCATTTACTACTGCAAACTTCTATCACTGTTATTAAATAGTTCGTTAGATCGGGAAAGAAAATCATCTATGAGATATGATGTTATGAGAGTGTTACTCGTAAGACTACTTTGTGAAATTTTTTTCCCTAGCAATTTCTCGATTTGAAACGAACATTTCAGAAAATTCTTTACATTTTACTTACTGCAGGCTTAGTGTGAGTTTCATTATAATGGCTTCAAATTTAGAAAGCTGAACACTTTATCAGTTTAATATTAAACATTAAATTATTCAAAAACTTTCCGATGGAAAAACGCAGTCAGAAACTGCTAACGAATGTGTTATTCCGAAGACAAATATCACCACTTTGGTGAAAGATAAAGATACGATTTTCAGCTTTTGAGTCTTTTATATCAGAACTTCGAAAAGATGATAATGAAAACTCAAAAAAATTGAAGTGAACTCCAAAACTCTTAAGTGAGTCAGTGATTCACTTGATACACATGACGAGCTGTCACTACATAACACTAAGGATGACTGATGAGCAATAAAAAAAGAGTAAAAATATATTTGGGCAATTTGAACTTTATTATAATGATTTTTCCAAAAGACGATAATGACGTAGAATAGGGGTCTTCAATCCGTGGTTAGCCGAAAGTATTTTAATGGACAGGTGAGCTTTTCCGATAAGTTAAAAATGAAACTCTCAATGCAGTACTGTCTCAAATTATTTGCTTTTCCTTAATTTTCCCCATAGATAAGTTTGCGAGATGTTTGATATTTGTCTCAACTGTGGGTTTGTTGAATGTTAATATATTTTAAGAAGCGAACCGTGTTGACCTTCTTGACCCGGCATCTTTCTTATGCGTTCATACACATTTTGTCCAAAAGGGTAGAAGGGGTTGGGGAAAAATTAATAAAATTGTATTTCTCCCAATGTTGAAATCAGTTGACAAAGGAACAGATGGATGTACAACATCTTAACTGGTGGGCGATAAGCATACTGATTTCCAATTCTGAAATTCAGAAGCGTTTTTGGTCTTCAAATAAGTGCCAAATGGCAAGCCATGATAACAACAACAACCAAAAAAAAAGTGAAGAATATGTGCAATTTTTTAAAAGTAAACTGGTCGCCTCTTTACTTTTTCCCTCAGCACAAGAGTAAAGCAGTTTATCTTTTTTGCAAAGAGAGTGTAGCTGTAATGAAAGAATATAACATGAAGAGACATTTTGATACTTTGTAGAGTTCCTCACTTTGGAATTCTAAGTTAATGTTGGAAGTGAGGAATCTAAGAACTGATAAGCGAATAATCGCTAGAGTTCGGTGACAAGAAACAACAAGATAGAAGGGTAACTACCCCTTTATAATTCCAATAAGATTTAACAAAACTCCGCCTGGGAGTGTACAAGCAAAGCCCGCACTTGGACTTGAACTTAAAAGACTAAGAATTAAACTAAAACTAAGATTAACTAAAGAAGTATAGCCGAAGCTATCAAGGTTCAATTAGAGTTGGCCCCTTAACTTATTTTACTACGAAGCTTTAGCAAGGGCCTGAGTACGGCCGAGCGTAATAACAGCTTTGAGAGAGAGAGTGGCCAAAAAGGCAGACGCGCGTAAATCAGAAACTCTGATTCTCTCGGACTCCGTAAGTAATTTCGTGGTTTAAATACTGCTCCTCCTCATTAAATATTCAGCAAGATTCCAAAAGTACGTTCTGGCCGGAAGTAGTAAGTTGAAGTTAAGAATTGACAGGAAAGGAACTTTAACTTAAAATTTAACTGTTAATAAAATTAACATAATCCTTACAGCTTACACAGTGGGAAACACTGTGTATTAGAAGTACATTTTTGAAGCGATGAAATCAGTAAATTAAAATCAAAGTTAAATTGTCCGCAATCTTTTATTTTCAGAGTGAAATACAAAGTTCGAAAATAGTGTTTGAATGAACAACATGACAGCAGAAAAAAATTTTTAACTTGGAAAACCTTTCGTTAATGGAGAGTATGACTTACTTGAGAATGAAAATTTGATGAGAATGCTCTCCTGGCCATTCTCAGAGAGCATCGAAAATGTTCTACCTGAAATTCAATTAGAATTTGTGGACTTGCAGTGTGATTTTGCAGTAGAATTCAGATTCCTTAAAAATATTGCATTAATTTATTTTTATTCGAAGTACGTACCCGAAGACAAATACCGAGGAATACGTAAACATGGACTGTTCATGTATTCTACCTTTGCCAGTACCTGCATACGTGAACAGTTCTTTACTCATATGAAAAACACAAAATCAAAAACAAATCGTCATTTGGAGGATATTTTACTAATCGCAACAGCACAAATTTTACTGGATATCGAAGCTTTGATAAAGCAAAAACAATGCGAAGTTTCTCATTAAGATTGAAGTGATTTCCATCCCGCTAGTAATGTGAGTTTCTTATTGCTAGTGAATTTTGTGACACTGTTACGTACATTGCATTGTTTATGACATTATTATATACCACATCACCTTCATTCTCTTTCATGATTAAAAAAAGAGCACAAATCATATTAAGGCGACTTATAACGAATTTTTTTAAAATTAAAAACACAAAATATTGAATATTATAAAAATCGGTAACCCCATCTTCCTCTTAAAATTAATTACAGTCTTGTAAACTTCTCTCTTTTATAAATATTCTACATAAGTTATTTATTTGACAGATATGTTCCTCATGAATCTTTTTGAGTTTATTAATGTGATTCTCGGAGATAAAAGGTTTAAGACCCCTAACAGAAATTTTACGTTGTTTTGGTTAAAAATCCCCCAGAGAAAAATTAAAAGTTCCTATATTTTGTTCAATACTATAAGAAAAAGTTCTTGAATTTGCGAAAAGACTTAGACATGATGAATTTCAATAAGTCAGTGGAATTTATATCCCATCTGGTAATTGTAGAAAATCGCTAGAAGAAACAACTAATGAGGTTCTTAACAGAAGCTTTCTCGCGGTCCCTTTTAGCACGGATAATTCGTTTCATAGAATAATTAGGGCTGAAGCTTTATTAAATTATGTGGCTAATCCAGATTTTCTATTCACTATGTCAGAAATTAATAGTGTTATAGAAATGCAATGAAGCTCCTGGTCTTGATTCTATTTCAAACGAAATTTTGAAGCAAGTTCATAGAATGTTTCCAAACTTATTCTCCAAAGTCTTCAATGTTTGTCTGAAGCTTGATTCATTTCGTCGTTGTTGGAAAATAGCGAATGTCGTTTTAATCCCTAAGAATAGTGGTCCTCGTATTCCGCATTTAGATAACTTGAGATACATTAGTTTTCTTAACAGTTTAAGAAAATGCCTAGAAAAGCTGTTTTTAATAGAATTACCTCGTTTTTGCATAATAAAAAACTGTTAAATAAAGCACAGTTTGGTTTTACTCCTCATAAGAGTCGTGAAGATGCTCTTTTGTACTTAAAAGACACAGTAGACGAAGGTAAGAAGAGAAATTTACATACAGTTTTTAGTGAACCTTGATATCAAAGGTGCTTTCGACCACGCCTGGTGGCCTGGAATATTTGTTGTTTTTTTAAAGAAAGCTGGCATTCCGTGTAATATTTTCCGCCTTATTAAAGATTTTCTGCATGACAGATCTGCATTGCTCTCCCTTGGCCACCTTTCTTTCTCCCGCATTTTGGAAAGAGGTTGCCCTCAAGGCTCGGTTTCTGGACCTTTACTGTGGAATTTAATTATGAATGATCTACTCAATAGACTCTCACATTGTCCGAGTTGTAAAACAATTGCTTTTGCTGATTTTGTACTAATTTTCTTTCAAGAGAAGTGTTCCGTTACTCTCTTTAATACGGCTCAGAACACCCTTAATATTATTTCCAGTTGGTCCAGAGAACAGAAATTGGAATTCAATCCTAATAAATCTAAAATTATGATAATTAAAAGAAAGTATGTCAGCTATACAAACCAACAACTGTACTTGGATAATACCTTACTCGAAACGGTGAATGAAATTAAATATTTAGGCGTTATTCTTGTTCATAAGTTTTGTTGGAAAAATCATATTACGTATTTATCTAATAAGTGTTAAAATATACTTATAGGACTTAATTATGTCTCTTGCAATACCTTGGTTTAAAATCTAATGTTGTTAATATGATTTATAAGCAGAGTATTGTCCGCTTTATTTGCTATGCTTCTAGAGTATGGGGAATAGCTCAAGAAAAGAAGATTAATTCTCGTATACTTCTCAGAATTCAAAGAAGAATTTTACTAAGAGTTGTGCGTTGGCTACAGAACAATTAGCTATGAAGCCTAGTTTTGCAATTTCAGGATTTTCTCCGATTGACCTTCATGTTTTAAATGATAAAAATTTTAAAGATACCATCAGCAAATTTACGTTCGATACCAAGGTCTTGTTTGAAGATCTTCCTCATCCTGCCGGTCGTTTGCCAATTCAAACTATCATTTATGACAATTCTGTTGATGATAATTGCCTTGTTGTGTGTTATACAGATGGCAGTAAAATTAATAACTTATGTTGTTTTCCATCATGGTTCTGAGCTGGAATACAAATTCTTTAGAATTCCCAATGAATGCAGTGTTTTCCAAGCCGAATTACTGTGCATTAGTGAGTCAATTAAATGGATATCTAACAATTGTTCGTTACGTTCTAAATTTCTTATTCGCAGTGATTCTCTTTCATCCCTATATTCTCTTATGAATATCTTCTCATGTAATAAATTTATTGTCACTTCTCATGCCCTTCTTAAAAACCTTAATAATAAAGGTGTTGATGTTATCTTTTCTCATGTACGTGGCCATACTGGCAATCTAGTAAATGGAAGGGCTAATTGGTTGGAAAAACAAAATACAAATCTTCAAGTAAATACTCCAATGATACTGTCCAAGTCACTTTTCAAGAAGGATATAATACTCAAGTGGAATGAAATATACCGGAATACTAGTACTGCCTCCTTGACTAAACTATATTTCCCTTCCAATCCACACAGATTGAATAATAAACACTTTTTCTGTAATTTTGGAATTACTCAATTTCTAACTGGACATGGTAAATTCAATTCATATCTAAAGAGAATTAAATTATCTAGTGCAGACTTGTGTTCATGCAGTTTCGGGGGAGTGCAAAATGTCGAAAATTTGTTGTTCTATTGTTCAAAGCTCAAGGAAGAACGAAAAGAATTCCTTTCTAGGTTAAAAATATGTGAATATTACATTTTCCTTCCCCTCTTCACGTATTTGTCCAACATAAAATGGCTTTCTCTTTCTGTAAATTTATCTCTTGTGTGTCATCTGTGAATCTGTAAGTTTATTTTATTTTGTGTTGTGTTGTTGTATTTGTTTGTTTGTGTTTTACTTACCTCTGTAATCCTTGTGTAATACTATGTGGTGCACAATGAATTTAAAATTTTCAATTAAAAAAATAAAGATATTTTGCGCTTTTTAAAATAAGTCACGTCCTTTTGAAATCTGTACGCGAGGGAATAAGCAGTGCCGTTTCAAATAAAGCTATCGAAGACTGGAATAAAAATATCATAAAAGATAGTAATCATTTATTAAAGTTTATGATTTATTAAAGGTACTTTATTAATAATTAAATGCATGGGGAAGTACTTATAAAGAATTATTAAACCATATTTAAAATGATGAACGATAATCATGCTAAAATTATTAAAAGCATTGCTTAAATTAATTAATTAGATTTCTTTTAAGGCTGTTCATCAGAACACTCATTAAAAGTGTGAGCTTTTGTTAATGATTTTATTCACTGTATTTTTTTTAATTTTAAAAGCCTTATCTCTTAATTTTCTGAACCTTTCACCCTTATTTTATTCAACAGATGGGAACACATGCATAACTTTATCTTTTTTGTTTAATTATTTATCTTTATTTTGTCACTTAATGCCATATTGAAGAAGAAAGACTCTTATCAGTATCTCTAGAAATATGCATAGTTTTCATATTAAAATTAGCTTCACTATAAGAATGAAATTTATCTCCTTTAAACTTCACTTTTATATATTAGGATAAAGATTAGTTTCGTTTTTACAGCGTACGAGACCTTTATCACGCTCATTATAATAAGCATTTAGTACACTGCGCTACATTATTGTCAGAAAAGCTTGAACGAATACTTACTTTTTGTGACTTAAGCTTCTTGCATTCAGTGTATTCCCAGAAAGCTTCAGTTTCATATTCTAGGAGAAATGAGCAGAAAAAAAATATATTAAAATTCAGTTAAATTTTTTAATTAAACGCCCCATAGGCAAATTACTTTAATAACTTTTTTTTAGGATTTGTCTAAACATTTGCGCAATTGATCAAAACTTAGTTTTCAGGTAGTTTTTGACAATTGGTTTAGTTTTAAAATTTTCAACAACTGTTTGTATTTTTAGATAATATTAGACTGCTCAAGTTCAGCTGTTAAATTAAAGCATAATGTATCACTACATCATCAGATATATTGCATTTTCATGAGCTACACTGCATTTAAATTGACATTTTAGTGGTCTTATATCAGAATATTTTGAGCAACAGTCATATTAATTTAAGCAAAATATTATGCCTCGGTATAACCTGTGTAAGTTTCGGGACCAATGATATTTGATCAAAACTAGATGACAGCTTCAACGTTATGCATCATTTTGGACAGAACTAAAATCCTGACTAAATCATCTCAATGCGATTATATTTCGAAAATGACGCAGTTTACATATTATTCATAAATTATTCACCAATGACAGATAAAAACGACTTTCCTTCAGAAGGCGTTTCAAAGAGAAAATTGTCTGCCGCTTTGTTTATTGATTCAAACAGTTCCTACGATGCACAATACTATTCTACTTACCGGTCTCTGCAACTGCATAGTACTAGGTAGGTAACACTCCCATCGGCAATCGTGTAAAATCGTGTTACTCTCGAATTCAATCACGCGATTAGCCCAGTCTTATTTAGGGAGTAAATAAATTCACCAGGAAATTACAGTAGATTTTGGATTCACCGGAGGCGAATTAGCCAAACCTTTTCTTAAAGAAATGGAGGGGGTAAGGATTCATAATTGCGGATATTCATAATAGAAAAACTTCTATGAAAAATCATCGGAATAAAACAAAATTTTCTACGTGAAATGCAAAAAGAAGCAAGAAATGCGTGGGATAACTTCTGTGATAGCAGATGATGTAGTGTTATTTGGAAGATATTTTTATCCACAGCAGAACATAATTTAATTGCACATATTTAGAATACAAAAGCATTATTAAATCACCGAATAGAAGCTTTACTCTTTGAGTGTGATAATATCTGTAGTTTTTTTAATCTCTTGCATCGAACATTTTATGAGTTCTTGTAGCATATCTTCCTTAGGTTCTGAGTGCCAACTCGTGACGCAGAGAGAGTAATTACCCAACTTATGACCTATTTGCAGATTTCATACTCCATGGCTGAGTAATTCTTTGTCGTCATCTGGGTGCTCCCTTAAAAGAAGGTCCAAACTTACTCAACCAGCTTAGTAGTGAGTGTCCGATGTGAATCTCGGGGTACCGGAACTTGCAAAAAGCGCCACTGCATTTGTTGCTTTTATAATGGAGATTGCGGTAATTCCTACAGTAAGTGACATGCTCAGCATGGCTAAGCACGAAGAACAGATACAATGTGAGAAGCCAGCATCGACATACGAGAGGGATCTCGGTAACAAAAGGCAGCCGCGTAACATTCAAAAACAGAAAGGATGAGAACAGCTACATACACTTTCTGTAAATGTAGTGGGCTTTAATGATAAAGCTTATGCATGCTTAGGAAACTTACATGGACTTTTAAAATATAAGATATTTCTGCGAAATGTTCTAAAAGTATAAGGTTTCATTTTATTGATATATTGAAAATGGATACCAAACAGAGCGTATTGATCCAAAATTAAGAGGCTAAATAGATCAAAATCAAAGTATAGAAAGTTATCTCCAAGGGCTGTTAGAAATTAAAAGTGAAAAAAAAAAGGAAAATAGAAAGAAACGTGCTGGAGGAAGTTAGGGAAGCCTTTAAGATATAGAATTAGGTCAAAGTCAAGAACGAATAAAATTAAACACGTAATCTTAATATACCCAAAAGATGAAGCCGCTACGTCAGAAGGCGTAAAAGAAAAGGTAGAAAATAAGTGCAGTAAAACTGAAAGTAGGAGCTAAAAGTGTTAGAAACATAAGACGAAAGGGAATTCTAATTGAAACCACAAAAAATGAAGATCTTAAGATCTTTCAGGACGCGATAAAAGACATCTCCAGGATTTAGGGGACACCAAAATCATCCTACAATTCCTCATAATTGAGTTTTTATCTTAAAACATTAGAAAATAGGGCATTAGAAGCAATTGAAAAGAACCTTATGGCTAGGACCATAAGTTGTGTTGATCCGGTTCTTTATATATTTGCTGTAATTGCTTTATATGATTTTAGTATACAGATTTTAATAATCTTCATATATTTCACTTTTTTTATACATTTTCAGTACATATTTTACTATCCTTATACATAAAAAATTTAATTTTAGAGATTGTTTAGATTTACTAGGGATTATTGGGGAGGACAATGGTTTCGATACTTTTTTTTCTTATATGATTCATAATGATTTCGCAGTTAATCAAAATATTAAAACTTATAAAATCCGTTTTAGCAATTTCGAGTTCCTCTGAGGCAGTAAGTTATCTCCTTTTCTTACTTGACATCGTGACACCACTGTTGAATAGCAATGACTGCAAAATCTTCATAACACATATTCGAAAGTATTTCAAAGCCTTTACGATTCTCATTGAAAATTTCAATATTTAATTTAAGTCAGATGATTTTATAAAGTATTCCTTCCACCTTCTTAGCATGCCTTCGTAGTGTAGTGGTCAGCACGCTCGGCGCGTATTCGAGAGGCCCGTGCTTCGAGTCCCGGCGTTGCTCATTTTTCATCTCTCCTGCTTCAAATTAACCTAATGTCTCTACAATTTCAGTAAAAAATATTAAAAGTTATGGTTATAACAATGAACCAATCCAAAATGTTACATGACTCCAGATAATAATTGAGTATTTATCTAAAGCATGAGAGCAAGTATCCTATCTTGCGACAATAATGAAACTCATAACAGCAGCCTTTTTTATAAACAAAATTTAAAAGTAGGAAATAAGAACTTTGATCCATTTGGGTGAAGGTAATTAAGATGATAACTTATAGCAGGCTGTAACTTGAACTATCAGGCTTCATTCTTACAAATTCATTTGCTGATTGTAATTAAGATTATTAATTTAGACACTAGATTGAAATTTGAATTTGAATCCATCATGGTCTAATTCAAGATGCCATACTTGCATTCTGTAACCATATCATATATGCTGGATGATTTACCGTTTAATATATTAGCGCCTCGTCCACTTTCGATGAAGTATTTTCAAATAGGAATCGCAGTTACTATACACGGCGATGTTGACATCCGTCCTGGTTCGTGCCGTACGGAATTGAACGTCATTTCTGCGGAAATCAGTTACATTGGATACAAGGCCTGTTGTTCAGTACATATTATTTTCTTTTGTTGCAAGATATTTTGAATAGCACAGTATTGCATATGAGCATTCATAGAACATAATTCAATACGGAAGTGCATTCAGTTTGAAAGTGCATTAAATGAGTACTACATTTGGTGTATAAATAAGTCAAATGTGCTACATATAAGTGATGACAATCAATGTGGAAGGAATATTTTTGCATTACAAATATATATAAATGTCATTATGTAACATTGTTATTGGTATTTTATGTGTTAAATTGGCATATTTACTATATTGGAATGAACACTTATATTACGAAAGTTAGATAACTGTATGTAACAACGTATTACACCGGATGAGTACAAATATTTGTATATCTCAAGAAGTTGATTCGATTGCAGCTACTGACTTCCATTCTATCGTTTAATAGGTTTAAGAAAATACGAATGAATATTACGGGGACCAAATATTTACAATGCAGAGAGAATATTTTCAATAGTAGATTCCTTCGACATTCTTTCGACAAAGATCAATCAACTTTTTACATTAAATGTAAATAAAATTTAAGATTTGGTGAAAATGCAACATTAAATTTCTATTTACTTTGTTTAGTTCTGTTATCTTCAAACTTAATTCCAGATTATAAAAATTAAAATGTGCTCAGACATTCAATTAAAACGATAAATAGTTCAAAATAATTAGATGAATTAAATTTCATGCATACAACACGAAAAACATTTGTCAAATTAGATGTCTTTGGCATTCTTAGGACAAAGATCGATTAAATTTTTTATGTTAAATATAAGTAATAAATTTTAAAATTTGGTGAGAATATAAGATGTATTATTTATTCACATTTTCTAGTTCGGTTATCTTCACATTTAATTTTGGATTATAAAAATAAAAATAATACTCAGACATTCAGTTAAAACGATAAATAGTTAAAAATAATCAACTAAGTTAAATTCCAAACATACCACACGAAATACATTTGTAAAATTTCACAAACTTGGATTTCCTTTCTTCGATTGTTTCATTTTCAAGTATGCTGCAGCGAGTTGCGGCAATAGCTAATGTGAATACGAATACAGTTAAAATATTCATGGCAAAAAATGTCTCAAAGACGTCAAATCTTCTAAAATTTCGAAATGGAAACTACTACAAGACGTTTTATACTTCACTAGAAAACGTCTTATTTTTTCCTGCTTTCCAAGATGCTCAATTATTTACTCCCCCTCTGCATAGCAAAAACAATGGTTTTTGCAAAACGTAATCGTACTCATACTTTCCTTACCTTAAAATGCGGTAAATGAGTTTTCGTGAGTAAAATCAATTTTGATGTAGTTAAATGCAAGATGCATCGAAATGAAGGCCGGATATAGGATATTACGTATAAGCCAACTTAAGTTTTTTTTTAATTTTACAAATGTATGCAGTAATTCGCACGCTACGGGTTTGCGGTTAGGTGTTTAAATAATCAATAAATTGACTATTTATTTATTAGAATTAATAAGGACGCACAGTTCTAAACAACACAATAAATAGCTGTAAAAAAATCAAGGTATCGTTATGGTTATTAAGCAACTCTTTAAATAAATATTTAAGAAAAATAACTCAAATTTCGAAAATTACTCGTAGATTGAACTCTAAAACGCAACTCTGTAATTCTGCTACATCTCTTTGAACTGTAATTATTGCACGGATGTCTGGACGCTTTTGTGTACCGCTAGTAAAGGCAGACTTTCTGAAAACTAAGTAATGAAACATCTTAATTATCTAATCAGCGTAAAAAATCCAGATGAACACTTTGATAATTAGGCCGATAACCAGAATCGCAACATAAGAAATAAAAACATTAAAAGGTTGCAAAATATCAAGGGAAACGGAAAGATAATGCAAATATTCTCTGAAATGGATATGTGCTATAATACTGTAAAATAATTGCTCCAAATTAAAACAATAAAGTAAACTAGTATGTACTGAAGCAGAAAGGGCTGGAGAAGCAGGAGAACAAGAAGTAACAAGAGAAAAATTGTATATGCAGCCCCTAAAAAACAAATGCTGAGCAATTTACATAAATGTCCGGTATCGATTATGAATGTACATATAGACAAGAGGTACTTAATAAGCTCACATTAAAAGCAAACAGAATGTATTCAAGGTACAGAATCACGCAGAACTATCTGGATGTAAAAATCATTTGCAACTACGTGCAATCATTCTATATCAATAAGTGATGCACAATAAGTAACGGATGCGATTATTTTCCTGATCGCTGTTATGCTTCTGCTAGCATTCTTCATTCATGCTTTCCAATACTCACTAGCTGACATACGCAGATGAGAAGATACGTATATAAACAGATAAAATAACGAGGATCAGGAGAGAGCATTCCCTTTAATGATGAAATGATATATATGCAATGGGAACAGGCCATGCCGTGTAAGGAATGAGTAGATCTTGGAACCTATGTTCCTTCTACTGTTCCATCTTTCCTGCTACTTTTCAAGCATTCTGTATAATGTTTCTTCATATAGGATTCTGGTAATACTAGTATGTTGTATAAGACAAAAGTCAGAATTCAAACTTGCTTTTGAAAGTTTATGAGCTGTTTCAATGCCGATGATCAAAGTATGTGATGGCACCCAACGAAACTGTGTCTTGTCCTTTTAGGTATAAAAAGAAGGAGTCCTTAGATATATCTCATTGCTCCCTTTTTTTTTTTTTTTTTTTTTTTTTTTTTTTTTTGTGTGTGTGTGTCGACTGATAACTGCAGTGAGAGTAGCAGCAGAGTCATAAATTTATGTGGTACAAAATCTTGACCTAAATTATGGCTTGTTTAATGACGCACAATTCCGCCTGACAAATAGTGTTGTGATCTGTTAGTTTCGTTTCCCTCTTGTGCGTATATCTGTCTTCTATATAAGTACAGAAATCTCAGCCTGTTCTTTTGCCATTTTTTGAGACATCTGTAAAAAAAGCTGAAGTAGTCCACATAAGAGGCTAGCCATTCAAACTGCAATTAATATCGAAGAGTCCAGTATTAAAAGTTCACTGCCATGATGTTCATAATCACTATATACACATATGTGTTGCCACAAGGAGTAGTATGCTGGAGTCGGAGTTGCACCATACAACAGCTTCTTCGCGCTCTTGTTCGTACAATAGCTTCTTCACGTTGTCGCGTTCTACCAAGTCTAACCTGCTAATACTTGTAAAGCACCCGTAGAAGTTGTCCTTTGCACTCGACAGAATCTTAGTATGAAGAGTTACTGACATGTTTGTAGATGATTTGTTAATTACACTGTAGGCCAAAATTAAAGAACAAAATCTAATGAAACAGTTATGCCAGAAGTACTGAAAACTTTGAATATCGGAATTCATGGAAATAATAATGTCTTCGGCTTATTAGAGCTCTCGTCAGCATTAATCTCAAACATAATAAATTAATAAAAGAATTGGCTTCAGACATAGAATATGAAATAGTGAGTGAAGACAAAAATGAAACATAGTTGTATTTCCCTTTTTTTAAAATAGATAATTAGTTCAGGAATATAAAAAATACCAAATAATAAAATGCAATTTAGAAGGAATTTATAAACGGGATTTGGGAAGTTAATGACTAAAAGGAAATAAGTGCTGCAGTAAAAAGTGCGACAAAAGAAGTATGGATGAAAGAACGTAGGCAACAAGGAATATGATAATAATAATAAATATCCTCTAAGACAATCTGAAAAAAATACAATTTCTTATCGGGGCAGATATTACTGGGAAGTTGATGACTGACAGAGTGAGGAAAAATTGTAGAAAATTGTTGAAAGATTGTAGAAGATGAAATGCTGTGTCAGAGGAATATTCAGAAAAAAATTATTCTCTAGAAACAAAAGACAACCAGTGTAATTTATAGATTAATGAAAGATGAAATAAATACTAATAATGTATTCTCCTCTACTTCAGATACTGCTCAAATTCCATCAGAAAACAAAATCTTTAGAGAAAACAGTTAAAGTTCCTAAATTGAGAATCATAAATTCTATGGCGATCTTGCCTCTAGAATTTTATAAATGGTTTGAAATCGTTGTTCATAATAATATTAATTTTACAAAAATAGATAAATTTAATTATTTAAGCTTGTATTTAATAGATAAGGTCTATAATTGTACAAGAGGTTTTGCGTTAACAGAAGAAAATTATGATGCTGCTTTGGATGTATCAAAAAATAGATTTGGAAACAAGAATACTCTTGTTAAGAAAATTTTCAAATCCATTTTAATGAGATAAAATTCCTACTGAAAGAGGTACAATTGTTTTAACTGGATTAAGAAGGCTGTTTAATAAAGCCGGTGCTTATATTAGAAGTTTTTAGAGCCGTTTGGTGTTGCTGCTAACGGCAAATACTCTTCTAGCACTTTATTGATTCCCATTTTATTGGATAGAATTCCGGAAGAACTTGTTTTAGAATTCCACAGAATATATCAAGATAGTGACTGGAAGTTTAAGGATTTATTTACTTGTCTAGACCAAGAGATATCGTCTAGAGAAAGAATATATTTATTTAATTGTGCACAACTAAAAATCATCACAATATCGGTAAACAATATAAAAGTCACTGCAAAAAAATTTGAAAATAAAAGGCTCAATACACTCACTTCACACACACGGAATATACACTCACTTCGAAAAGTTAAGCACGAAGATGTAAAATGCAAAACAATCAACAAATACTGCTTTGATTGACACAAAATTCAGCAGGAAAGTAGCATATATGTTTATGCATAAAACAAAATCAATAATTATATACAGAAATGAAAACAATATTAAATTTTTGCAAGTTATCAGATAATGACATACTGGAGACTTAAATATAATTACGTATCAAGTGAAAATAAACAGCATAAAATGAAAAAAAAGATATTAATAGGGTATGTGATCCCCCGTCATCTGTATACAAAGTTTACACCTTGTAACCATGCTTTCGGTGGTCAACCACCGCATAATTAAGCAATCGCCATTCTTCTTGTAGAGCAGTTTCCAGCTCAATAAGAGTGGCTGGAGGTAGGAAACGTGAAGTTATAGCACGGCGAGATGAGAGCAAAGATTTCAATGGGATTAAGGTCGGGCGAATATGCTGGCCACGCCAGACACGCAGTCCCTTCACTCTCCACGTAGTCATTGACGATGTCAGCTCTATGGGGACGTGCGTTATCTTCCATTAAAACAAAAGTAGCGACAACTGCTGCAGCGTACAATTTCACAATGGGTTCTAGGACTTCATCTCGATACCGGACAGCCGTGAAAGAACCCCGTTAAAAGATGTGCAGCTCGGTGCGGTATTCTAATGAAATCCCTGCCCACACCATAATGTTTCCGTCTCGGAATGCCTGATGTTCGGTGATGTTTTGGGACTGATTGCGTGTTCGTTGTTCACGCCATATCCTTATACGCTTGTCATCTGGCTCCAGATTAAATCTCGACTCATCAGTAAACATGACATTGCCTTAGTCAAACACATTCTAATTGACATGTTCCCGGCACCACTGTAATCGTGCCCCTCTTGATTGGACGGATAGAGGAACACAAACTCGAGGTACCCGGGCGTACAGTCCACTCATATGTAATCTCCGGCGTACAGTAGCTGCAGATATCGCCTTACCAATGGACGCTGTAACCATAGATGTCACACGTGTGGGGGTCGCTCTGCGATTCCGCTTGGCTACAGTAGCAATATATCGATCTTCCGCGGGGGTTGTAACCCTTGGGCGATCGGCTACGGGCCTTCGGACAACTGTCTGTGTGGTTTGGAATTGTTTCCATAAACATGAAATTACAGAATGATGAACGCCGAAGAAAAGAGCAACATCTGTGATCGACTGTCCTGCTTCAATGCGCCCCAAGCACGCCAGCGCTCAGAATCTTCCATTCGTCTTCCGGAAGTCATAGAAACACGTATGTCTTGAAAACAAATTGTACGAAAGTTTTAAACACCTTCTCAGCACTTACAATCAACTTCTGTAACCCTTCGTAAAGCTGGTTTCTTATAAGACTGCCTTTTTTTGCATATATCTTGACGTGAAAGCGCGATTGGTTGTTAGCTAACATATTTGCATATCTCCATCTACCTCTGCAGCGAATTAAATCCTCTTCAAGTCTGATTGGCTTCCGAAAATTAGCATTTTCATCTCCGTG